AAAAACTTTAAACATTGAATCTGTCCATTATCAATTTGTTTAATGGACTGCTATAATATTAATGATTGACTGACATTTGCAGCTGCAGCCCTGATGTTATAAAAGAAACCCCATGAGTGTTTACTAATGACTTGCATGTTTGCAGGTGTAAAGGTTAATAGGTCATGATAATTCATTTGATGCTGTTTAAAAAATAAAAAGAATGAGCTCCAGTAGATTTTCCACAACACCTTGAATAAGCCTCATTATTCTTTTATTATCGATCTCTAAAGTATAGTAAATAATTCAACTACCACATATACATTTAAACAAGTGATGGAAATGTTACTTCTTATCTCAGCACAACATTTAGCAGCCGTTCAGGAGCTTTCTATTGTTTCTTCATCAGCACTTTGCTCTGTGGTTATGATTCTTTTTAGATATTTAACATGATGAACATGTGAAATGTTAGATCAACAGCTTGTTTTATTGACCCAAACTTTATAACCAGTATATATTTATGATTTATAGATGAAATTATTGTATTAGGAGAAATGAAACACATTTAATCAGATATTTTTAAGATTCATGTTCTCTGGTGATTTTTAGATTGAGTGATTCTCAGACAGCAGCTGTTTCATGCAGCAGCAGCAGCAGCAGCAGCCATTGTCAGTTTGTGTTTTTTTTTATCTCTAGAAAAAATACTTCGGTATCTTTCTGGAAGCACAAACAGAGCTGCTGAGCTCTGCAGTCTCACTTTGCAGCAGCACAAAGGCGACTCTGAATTGTCCTGCAGCCAATGAGCCGGCAGCTCAGCAGCTCAGTGTCCACCAGCGGCCGGCGGTTGCCAGTTTCCAGCCAGACTCCCGTGGGTGCTGGGGGCGAAAAAGAATTTTCTAATCCGTCACCATTGTACCAATTGTCTATAAAGATTAATGTGCGAGAGAAGCTCTGTCCTCACATGAGGGCCCTCAAATTTCCAAATCACTGTTCATGAAATATTTCAAACAAAGAAATGAATGACTCTGAAGATTTCAAGGTAACAATTCAATGTCTAACCTTGTGATTTTAATTTAATTTCAGCAAAAAACTTTGGCTTTTAACACAGTTTATTTTTCGATTAGCTTGTGTGGCTTAATTTTGAATGAGTATTTTTATAGATTTGATCTCTTCTCTTCTCATTCATGTGATGGACACATGTTTTCCAGGAGGGTGAGAGAAGCAAAGACCAGATAGACGGCACAGGGATGAGTAGCAGGAAGGGAGTGAGGGTGACTGGGAGATATGTGCCTCCCGTGGATTGGAGCAGCAGAGGAGGAGGTCCATCCATCATCCACTCTCCTACCAGCACCCCCATACCTCCAGACACCCCCACTGTCATCTCAATCGGCCCCCTGCCTCACAGGCTCCCAGAGCGGGTCACTGAGCGCAGAATGGATGAAGCCTCGGCTGGGGACGACTGGCCCGGGGAGACATCGTCTCAACCCAGAGTTTCCTACAGTGAAATGGGTGTCCCCAGGCAGACCATGGAGGAGCTGAAGACCATCCTGAGGGACAGTCCTCTGCTGAGCATCCGGGTAAGAGATGATGGGAAGCCGGGGAGTCCTTATACATACCTCCATGGAAGCAGGAGTGGTAGAGACGGTGGTAGACGGCCCGATGGAAGGCAGGAAGATGGAAACCCCCACAGAGTGTTAAGCACCTTCAAACCCCAGTCTGATGCTTCCAGAAAGGGGCCCAGGTCCAGAGAGAGCACATCTATTCAGCTGCCTTCCAGCATGGATTCATCCAGCTCGTTCAGGTCAGATGGGAACACAAATAGGCAGCCAGGCGTCAGTGCACACTCACATGCAAGAGGTGGCTCCTGGGAAGAGACTGGAGCTTCTCATTCAGGTTGGTGAAGCTTTGTTTATACGATGAGTTTACACGACTTATTCATCGAATTGTAATCAGTATTAACTTGTTCAAACAGAGCTGATCTCGGATTTGACTAAAGTCGTCTTGACAACACTGGAGAAAACATGGCTTTGTGGTTTTTTTTTAGGCTTAGTATTTGAAATCAACAGTTGTGACATTTTGCAGATTTTTCAAACTGTTTTCTACAGATAACGGGAACGAAACAGTTGAGTTCTCTGGTAACCAGAGGTTCATTGCAGCCATGGAGCAGATCAAGCAGCAGATTGCCCGAGAGAACATCAACTTTGTCCGATTCGAGGCCACCGATCTCCACGGGGTGTCCAGGTCCAAGACAGTGCCTGTTCGCTTCTTCCACGTATGGAAACCTACCTACCTACTTACTTAACCCTCTATCTACCTGCCTACCTGTGGTCTTTAAGCGAGGCTAAACATCTCCCAGCAGTTCCTCTGTATGTATGCATTTTCCAAACATGTTAGCATTCTCCTTACATGTTGTATTTGCAGGAGAAAGCTGTATATGGGATTCCAATGCCAAGGAGTTACTTGGAGCTAACCCTGAGCCCTAAGAGCAATGAAGTGGACCACGCCAACACTGCCAACTTCAGCAGTGATGTCCTTCTGATCCCTGACCTTTCGACCTTCAGGGTCCTACCCTGGGCCGAGCAGACAGCCCGGGTCATCTGTGACCCCTGCACAGTGACAGGAAGCCCCCTTCGCACTTCACCTCGCCTCATCGCCAAGCAGCTCCTCGGCCAGCTCCAGAGCCTGGGATTCTCGCTGCACTCCTCCTTCACCTACGAATGTTGTGTCCTCGGAGCACCTGACCGGATTGGACCAAAGACGCTCCTGTTCCCTGCTACCACCCTGCTGAGCAACCATGACCTGCCTTTCTTCCAGCAGTTGGTGGACAGCATGTACTGCATGGGTGCAGACATAGACAGTATTGCCTCTGCCAGTGGGCCCGGCCAGATGGAAATCAACCTGAGGCCAGAATTTGGTATTGCGGCGGCAGATAGCGCCTTCACCTTCCGCACTGGCATCAAAGAAATGGCTCGTAAACACAGCTACATGGCTAGCTTCTTCACAGATGATGGCCTGTACAATGCTGGAGTGCTCTCTCACAGCTTGTGGGATGCTAATGGGCGACGTAGCCTCTTCCACAGCGGGGAGAAGGCAGACGAGCTGTCTGAGATTGGCAGAAAGTGGTTGGCCGGGCTGCTCACCCACTCTGCCGCCCTGAGCTGCCTGATGTCGCCTGGCCTTGGCTGCCGCAGCCACATAGCCAAGACAATTAAAGACCCAAAAAGGATGCTGTACGCCACCTGTGGCAGCAACGATAACAGCAGTTCCTTCAACATCAAATGTCACGGAGGTAGAGAGACGCACATCGACAACAAGCTGGGCTCAGCCATGGCCAACCCTTACATCGTGCTGGCCGCCACAGTGGCTGCAGGACTGGACGGCATCAGGCGGAACCTGACCGTTGAAAGTGGTCTGAACAAAGCCCCTTGTCAGCAGAAGGAATTTGCCATCCCTGTAAAGCTCGACGATGCTCTGGAGGCACTGGGGGATGATCACGTGATTCGCAGCACACTCGGGGAGCCGTTTGTTCAGTATTTCATTGCCATGAAAAAGTTTGAGATTGAGACCCAAGAACTGGATGATGAGAGGAACAAGTGTCTGGAGTATTTTATTTAAAAACGCTTCTTTATTTGAAACACACTTCCTCCTGCCACATAAATAAAAGCATGAGAAACTACAGCTTGAATATAAAAGTTGTTTAGAGTCATTTCAAAATAAAGGTAAATATATCCTAAAGTGTTGATGTGCAGTTTTGTGTGTGTGTGTGTGTGTGTGCAAACTGGTGTTTACATAAAAACTTAACAACTACAACATTCAACCAATATGATAAAAAAACTAAGTAAGTGGCATTGCCCTGCGCTGAGTAAGTCGCCTACGGCAGGAAATAAAACTGCAATATTATGTAACTCTAATGTTTGGAAGTTGTTTCTCTATTTTAAGTCGGTTCAACACTTTTGTTTTCTGATGTGAAATAAAAGTAAACAGTCTTGTCTTAGTCTTGGTTTCCTGTAGTTTGGTGGAAATCTTTATTTTCAATATCATGTGTCAGTGGAACGTTCAAACTATTCACAGAAAAGACACAAGTGAAATACTACAGAAGAAGTGTTTGTGAGAAACACTGCATTTAATGTCTAAGGTTTTTTTTTACAATGTACTTGATATTTACAGTGAACACATGTTAATCAAGTTATTTTTGCAGTTGATCCAAATGTTGACATTTGTTTGACAACAAAAACGACAGTATAGAGAGAAGTTTTACACGTTTTTTACATTAGAACAAATCTGGCAAAACTGAAGTTCCAGTTTATGGGTGTTCTGGAGCTTTGGATCATATCTTGTGATCATCTTCAGGAGAGCACGATATGGTTGAAAGCTCCACTTTAGTTATTATAAACCAGGCTACAGTGTTTTCATCGTAATAAAGAAACTTGTCAAACAGTTTCTGGAGTTCTGAGGCTTCAGATACGTTCACTTAACTTTTCATCAGGATCCATTTTTGTTGGTTTTTGGACTTGTAGGATCTATTGTGAGCAAAATACAGAACATTTTAAAATAACAGACACATTTAATATAGAACATCGATAACATTTCTTTACAATTCAACTCTCTGGATATTCTTTTTTTAACAATCTAAAAGCGCTACCATCATATTCATCCCATTTTTAAAGGAGACATATAACGTTTCAGTGTTTTTATCCTCCAGTGTGTTAGATTTTTTTGTAAATGTAAAAGTTCTGCAAAGTTAAAAAAGGTGTTTTCTGAACATTAGATTATGTAAACCTTCTACAGTCATAACACTAATTTAATTATCAACCTGAATATGTCTCCTTTAACATCATGAGTAATTAACTGACAAGTATTTTCACATCGACCCTCCTTCAAATGTTCGATTCCCAGGTAATATAAAGACACTTTGTACCAGATACCAAATAGATCATATCCTTCATTAGGATTTTGTTTATAACATCTTGTGTTTTGGCCTCGGTGATAAATATCTTCCCTCGTAAACTCTGAGCCACATTGTGAAAAACATAAGAGATGAAGCAGAAGTGAGGATCCCAGCACGGTGCACAAATGTTGCCTCCACTCCTCCTGCATCTCTACTTATTCTTGCCTATAAGATTTCCAACTCGCTGCATGAATCTTCCCAGTTTGTTTTCAGAGCCACTTTGTGTCTGATACATTGGATAACCTGAGTCATTCCGGCCATGAACGGGGCTCGTGCTTCTGTCTTTGTCTGAGGGATACATACTCGTCATCCTACTTTCAGTGCTGAGCAAATACTCGTATCGGCTGTAGGCTTTCTCTCTCCTGGTTTGAAAGACGGTCGCCCCCTCGTCGTCCAGAGTGCTCTTTGAGCCTCGATCCTGCTCTGCTCCGGGGTTTGTCTTTTTCTTGCTTGAACGCTGAGGAGATAATCTTGCGAAAGCAGATTTATGCCTTTCGGTGTCTGTTGAACTACTGGTGTGCTGTGACCTGGAGACACTGGGCGACTGACCTTTCTTTGTTATTTGCCCAGCAGAGGACCCCTGTGAATGGTCTGCCCTGATGGGTTGGTTGGATCCTGAGGGATTCTGCGGTCTCATTGAGGCCTTCCTCTGGAGGGACTTCTCCTCTTTTTTGGAGGCTTTCTTTTCGTCAGATGAAAGCATCGATTGCACTTTCATTCTCATGGAGTTCTTCCTCTGCAGCGTCTGTTCCTCTCTGTGTTTTTCTGAGTGACTACTCTTACCCTCCACTGCAAGCTGAGATCCAGTAGATGTGTTCAAAATCTTTGGAACGTTTTCTAATGATTTCTTTCGTTCTTTCGCAGCAGTAGAACTGTTGGCCACTTTACCAATAGAACCACGACTTCCTCTGGCTTCATCTCGACGTTGTGGTTGTTCAGGTAAACTTGATTTCACAAAGTTCTCTTCTGGAACAACTATTTCATCTTTGCTAATTTCCTCATTTCCGTTGTCGAGCGTTGTGTCTGAAGTGTTGATACGAGAATTTGAACTGTCTTTTTCTTCAGGGATCTCAATCAAAGACTCCATTGCTCTTAAATGCTGGATGCTGCTGGACTGCAAATGAGAGAGTTTTAGCGAAGGATCGTTCAGTTTCATGTCTAATTCAGCAGCTGACACTGATACTGTCCTGGAAGGAGGCTCACGCCAGTCATACGTGTGCAGCCTCTCTTTTCTGTCACCTTCCTTACTTGGGTCATTGATTTTCTGGTTGGTTGATTCCATGTCACCACCATTTTGTGCATGTGGCTCGAATTCTGCCACACTCTGCATCTTGTCCAGATTTCTCAACGAAGACACAAATTTCGGTCTTTCTAGACTGGGACACATCGACCTCAAGCTCTCTTGGCTATGTCTGAAATTAGCATATTCCTGCAAACTGAGCCTCTTCTGCCTCATTTCTTCTATCCTGGACTTAATGTCCCTCGACCGGTTGTGAATCCCCTGTGATTGTTGCTCGTTTAAGCCTATGTGGCTGCTATACGGGGATATCATGGGAGATATCACATCATATGATGCATCAAGAGGCAAATCGCTCTCATTAAAGTACGAGTCGATCTTCCACCTGTGCAGTGAAGTTTCTGAGTTGAACGGTATCAGATTCTGGTCTGCACCGTAACGACTGTGATGCCGAAGCTGCTGCTGAGACAACCTGTTTGTTGGCATCAGGTTCGGTCCAGTCCTGTCAGGTATTCCAATGTCCCTGGTCCCCATCCTCAGCCGAGTCATGGAGTGTAACTTCTGCAGTTCGCCACCATAACTGTGTCCCCGCACCAGATTCCCCATGTCGGGACAGTGGGACTGATGCAGCCTGTCCTGCATGCTCAGGCCCCTGGTTAGCATGGCGGGGTTATTAAACCTATCATCCTGAGCGCTTCTCATGTCGTGCATCAACCTGGGTGTGATGTGGAGCTGGTGGAGGGACAGTTGGCTGGAGTTTGGGCTCGTCAAGGCCACAGAGTCTCTCAGGTACGGGACAGATATTCTCTCCCTGGACAGGACCGGAGGAACTGTGGAGCGAGCGTACAGTCTTCGAAACTCCTCGTCATAAGAGCAGACCAGCTGACCGGTTACCACCAGAACCATACTGAGGTTGATCTTCTCATAAGACCACGTGAAGCTGAAAGACAAAATAGAGGCACAGTCAACGGAAACGTAGACAGACAGAGGACTGGCCTGTATCCTGGTTATTAAGAGGCAGGACCGGCACTGACTTACCTGTAAGTTCCATATAAAACTGTTCTGCAGTCCACCAGAATAAACTTCTGCTCCAAACCTCCATGAAACTTGACCCCGGACTGACACTGGTACTGCTGCCCCTGAACTGTCCGAACCCGAATGTTCTGAGGTAGAAACAAAGAAAGAAGGTAGTTTTAACTGAGCAGAACTTTGAACATTTGCTTTTTCAACTCAGTTTGCTAGAGATTGAGACACAAACTCCTTAGGAAAATGTTTACAGACTTCTTTTTTCAACCAAGAGAATACAGGATTCAGGCACTTTCCCATTGACTTCAATTTGCAGAACCAGAGCTTATGTTTGTTTTTAGAAATAGTAGATGAACTGAATTCTAAGTTCACCGCCTCAGATCCGGGGCGCAAACAACTGCAAGCTCTTTTTATGGCTGCAGCAACCAAACAAATGGAAATATTCTCAAGGGTTTGCACATTTCCATTTTAAATTAGATGCATTTTACTTTTCAATTTAAATCTAAAGTAAAGTGGTGGTTTTAGTTCCCATTTCTATTACTAGCAGCTTCAACACACCCATGTAAAAGCACACACACACACACACACACACACACACACACACACACACCTTTTAACTCTCAACAAGATCAAACCTGCGTCTCATTTTTTCTGCTGTCTTACTTGAAGTGGCTACTGGCTAAGTTTAATGTGCAGAGAGATCACGTCGCCGGGTTTCTTCTGTCGACTTGCTGTTTGACTGTTCAAATGACGTCCTGATGCAGTTCAACAGGAAAATCCAGCCACGCTAACAGATCTGTCTCATGGCTGCTGCAGCCGCCTCGTGTTAATGACAGGTAGCCGTGCAGAAGACATGTTTCCACGAGGGTGTGGAGCAAATGTCAGACTTAATCCGCTAAATGCTCTAGCCAACAGAAGAAAGGTCAACCCAGAGGCGATGCTTTACCTGGAAACTTAACTTAACCTCCAACTTTGAGCAGATGAAATGTAGATGCATGAAAGGACTTGACAGCTTTTATATAAAACGCTAAACTAACAAACTAACTGAGGGTGTTTTTAAACATTTGAAATGAATGTTCGGAGGTGGATCTCAACCTGCGTTTGTTCACTCAGCAAAATGTTTTCATTGCTGTTTGACTATTCGTCTGCAGGATTACACACAAACCGTTGAACCAATTTTCTTGAAACTCGGAGGAAGGATGGGACATGGGTCAAGAAAGAGCTCAGTCACTTTTGGAGCCAATTTTTTTAACATTGCATGAAATGCAGAGATAAATAAATGTTGTTGTTGTTGAGGAGTCTCAGCAAACAACCCCTTCAGTTCATGTGCAGCCTGCGTCCTCCGCACGCTGTCACTGAACGTTCTCTCACGCTGCATCGTCCCACAACCTCACACATTCATAAGAATCCACTCTCGTTGCTCTTGAATCTCACGGAGACGTGTCTGTCTCACCTTGAGGTCCTGGATGTTGACGCCCACCCTGTGCGACATGGTGAGGAAGCTCCTGAACTGAGAATTATCCAGGAGGATGTAGACCACCACCCCCCTCAGCGTGGCACTGACGATCTCTTTAAAAATGTCCACATCGGTGAAGACGTCCATCGATATGGCAACAACCTGGAGACACATTGGACACATGAACAATGTTTTCAAATCCTCAGGAGACTTTTAAAGATGTTTTCAGTTTTAAAAAAATCTTGTGCAGTTCAGTAAGCAGCTGTTGTAACACCTTTAAATTTAATAAAAACTCCACGAAATACTTCCCGTAGTTTTTATTAAATTTTAAGTTTGGAAGGATGTGGTCTGGATCCGGATCAGGGCGCAGATCCAGAATCCTTTTTTCCTCTTTCTTCAACAGTGTGAGACGCTTTTCAACATTTCCGTTGATTCGTTGCAGACGATACAAAGAGTTTGTTTATTAGGAGGTCGTCGTTAATGATCGTCAATGATTATGTTTACTGTGTTTCCAGATCTTTTATTACTTTAATTATCAGTATGAGTCAAAACCAGGATTTAACATTTAAACATCCACATGAACACAGTTCAGTTCAGTTCTGCAGCTTTTAAAACATTAACTTCGACCCTGGACATGAACACAAATCCATTCTGCACATCAACAGGCTCATTTTCAATAGGCTGGATATCTATAGAATAAAAGTCCACTTCCTGCACACACACACACACACA